TTTTGAACATTTTGATTCTCCCCCTTAATACACTCTAAATAACAACTATTATCATGCATTTTGTATTATAGGTAACGGAAAAAAAATCGAATTCCGCCGATCATGATCTGTAATTTTTTGATTTTGGAATGAGAATTTTTCATTCTAATTTCCAAAATTTTGATTTTTTAGAATCTTTTCGTAATTTAATTGGAATTAGTTTTTCGATTTAAAAAGTATCAATTCCCACATTTTTAGGTCAAATTACGACCACCCCCGAGGTATGGCTAAATTACGAAAAAACCCTATTGTTTGGGTAATTACAACCACCCCTCCTTTTAAATATTTTCACATAAAATTTATGTGATTCGGTTATTTAGCAAACCAAATCGTATATTCAGTTCGGTAAACGGTAGAAATTTTGGCGTACCAAAATTTCGGTTTGGTTTTACCCATTTAACATCCCTAAATTTACCTTTAAAGGGATTTTTTCGTAAGATAATAGATAGCTGAGGGGTGGCTGTAATTACCCAAACATGAGGGGTTTTGTAATTTGACCATAACTCAGGGATGGCCGTAATTTGCCCTAATTTACCCTTATTTTTTCATGAACTAACAAAAATATGAACTTTACTCATGCAGAATACGCCTACACATTGAGAGTAGACGAGAAGAGCGACGTGTACAGCTTCGGCGTAGTCCTCCTCGAGCTCGTCACCGGCCGCCGGCCGGTGGGCGGCGAGTTCAGCGAGGGTGTCGACATCGTGCAGTGGACAAAGTGTTCGACGAATTGCCGAAGAGAAGAAGTCACACGCATCATCGATCCGAGGCTGACCGTTGTGCCCAAAGACGAAGCCATGCACTTGTTCTTCGTCGCCATGCTTTGCGTACAAGAGAACAGCGTCGAGCGGCCCACCATGAGAGAGGTGGTGCAGATGCTGTCGGAGTTCCCGCGCCGCTCGCCGGAGTTTCACCCCTCGTCATCGTCGTCTAGCCACCAGTTGCAGCCGCCGCAGAAGAAGAGCCCTGATGAGAAAATTCGACAAGATTTGTTGGTCTGAATTCTCAAAGTCTATGAATATATGGATTAACCTTTTTTCCTATTTTTAATTTATCTTTTTTTGTGATTTTAATTTAATTTGTTTTACTTTTTTTGGGGGGAGGGGATAGGAGAGTTAGTGTCCAAAAGTTAGGGGGCAAAATAAAATATTTTATGAAATGAGAGGGGTTGATTAGAATTTCTTTTTTCCTTGTATTATAGTGTATACAAATAGTATGTACCATTAATTTTCTTTGGGTGAATATGGGCTTTTCCTCTTTTTCTTTTTCTTTCTTTTTTTTTTTTCTATGAAGTTTTTGGTATTTTGTTTTTGTTCGTTTGTTGTTTTAATTCAAGAACTCGTGTAGAGGTGGGGAATGTGCAATAATGTTGTGTAAAGTGTGGGTTTTTTGGGTTTCGGTTTTAGGTTTTCGGTTTTCGGTTGCACTTTGTGTATCATGGAAAAGAAAAGAAAAAAACCCGAATTTTGGCAGACTCAAATTTAAATATATAGTAGGTATACAATTAGAAGTTCAAACTCACGTATCATCGATTTATACAATTAGACCCAAAACTCGTTTCATATAATACTTCATCAAACTTCGAGTTTATATATATATATAATAATTAATACATCGAGCTTGTAAGAAATATATTTTAATCATCAAAAAATAGTTACAAATTAATTAAGTAATTTCATTCGCTGCCCTAGCTTTGGTCTTGTCCACAAATCTCTCTCTCTCTCTCTCTTTTTTTTTTTTTTTTTTTTAATTTATTTATTATTATTGTATCGAAGAAATCTACGAGAGACGTAAACCATATTAGACGATTGTTGGTAAGGGAATCAAACTTGGGTTCAATTGATACAAATTCACTTGCTCCAACCGTTAGACCATCGTCCCTTAAGGGACTCTTGACCAGAAATCTAGACCAAAATATATAGACTAAAAAATGGATTTTTTTTAAACATAAATATGAATGACTTAATTATACTTACCAAATGAAATAAATATAAGTTTCATGCGTGTATTTAGTGGTGTAAAATATTAAATAATATTTAAAGTAAAAGGTAAGTTATAGGGATTATGATAAAACATTAAAACTAACTAAAAATTCAAATATTTGTAAAATAACATAGAAATTTGTCTTCACATAGATACATGTATTTAAAAAATAACTAAAAAATCTTGTCTCTGCAAATTAGAAGAACTAGCAATTCTCCCCGTGCAACACGCACATATTGGAATTTTGCTAACGGCTTTGCAAATTTGATTTGCTATAAAGGTCATAGAGTAAAAAAAAAAAGCTGGAAAATAGGAGATGAAAAAATACTACTAAATTAATATTAAATAAATTACAAATATGCCATTAGGTTTTCTTAGGATACCTTAGCATTTCTTACTTTTATATATAAGATATATAAGATACTAGAATTTTGGCCCGTGCGATGCACGGGATTGGTGTACAATTAATACAATGTAAAGTTCACAATTGAGTTTTCAGTTTATTTTTATGTTTGCTATATGTATTGATGATATTCCCTCATCCATAAATTATTTTTGCCGTATTTATTAATTTAACTTTATGTTTTTGATGTAATATAGTTGCATATTTATCTTATTTCAGTTAAGGTAAAAGTCTGACGAATCTTCTTCTTTATCACCCATAGCCCATAGGCCATAATAGAGCTTCAGTAAATTATAAATCAATGATGTCATTAAATCTCAAGGGTTTACCAGGAGCAATTTAATAATATAAGATAAGAATCATATGTTTTTCTAAATAATTAAATAATCTTCCCATACAATTAATATTAAGTAAAAAATACGTAGATGTGAGGGCAAGAAAATGAGGATACTTAATGGATTCATTAAACTTGATTATATAAATGAAATAAAGCAATAAATTTAATTACTTAAATAAATGGCAATTGTAACTATCAAATGAGCGGAAAGAATTTCCTATGACTTACCAAGAGCAATCTTACTTTCATTAATAATGAAAATAAAAACCAAATATTTTCTAAATTATTAAATAATATTTCCATAAAAATAATATTAAGTAAAATGACAATTTTAGTGGATAAAAATACGTATATTTGGGACCAAAAAATTTGAATACTTAATGAATTTATTAAACTTGATTGTATAAAATAAAAATAAAAATAATCAATTAAATAAATTACAATTAAACTATCAAATGAGCGGGAAAAACTTCATAGGTTTTACCAGAAGCAACCTTACTTAAATGATATCAGACAACATATATTTTTCAAAGGAAATCAAAATTTGAAAATAAAATGAGTTGCCAATGTTACAAATATATGTAAGGAGGTTTAGCATATTTAAAAGAATATTGTAATAAAGCTCAAACTTAGAAAAAAGTAAGCTTCTCTGTTTAACAATATTCTTATACAAAAAAAAATAAAAAATCAGCCGAATATCGAATTCTCGTACAATAAATATTCTCGTACAATAAATAGTACATATCACATGTCTATACCAAAGATAAGCAAAAATTGCTCATCTCTCTCTCTCAATTCAATTCAAATTGACAAAGTCCTTTTATGAAGATGCTACACTATAAGGAAGGCCTGTTCGAAATAACCACCGTCG